ACACAGTTTTAAAACAAAATTATTCTCATGCAATTTGAGGACCTGAATTCAGGAGGAAAGAACATTTGAAAATAACAGGAACTGCAAAAATGCAGTCATTCTCTGAAATAAGTCAATGAGTGTCTGTTTGCCATTATACAATAAGGACAGTTAAGTCTTCAAGAAGTCTTAAGCTGTATTATTTGCACTACAAAAAGCTAAAGGAAAATAGATTCTGTAAACATGGTTTCTCTAAATTAATGTATTTTTTCATTTCACACTTTGGTCCAGAGAAGAGATTAAGAATCTATTTCACAAGCAAAAGTGATAGAATGCTCTGATAGATAAAATTAATTATATGTATTAATTGTCAAAATTCACTTCACATTTTCAAGCCTTCCTTTCATATATTATGAGCCCCTTCTTTATACTGATGGTGGAACTTTGACTCTTGCAGTCTAAATCCGAAATTGTAATTGAAAACAGAGTATATTATCAGACTATGTGAACCAAGGTAATGCACTTCTCTTCCCTGGCTTTTATTTCATGTGTCAGTCAGAGAGTAATTTATCTACTGATTTCTTTGTGGGAGTCAAGTAACTGAATCACAAAAATTCTGAGCTCCTTTTTAAGCTCTGCTCCTTACTTTATCTGTGACTTCAGACATGTCACTTAATCTTTCTTTACTCCATTTCCCCCTGCAAAAATGGAATCTGTAAACCATTCCTTATTCTCCTTCTTTCACAGAGACGACTGCTCTTCTCCAACCGTATTTGATATTGAAACATGGGCTAACCTAACATTCTGTGCTGCAGATCAAAGACATGTTCGTGTAGAAGTACCTGAGCTAGCTTTAAGGCAGATATCTCAGGTGTGGCATGCAGTTTAATTAGGACTGCATGGAAACAAATCTCGAGGGAAGATCATACAAGCCATAACTTGCAGTGCTGCAGTTTCACCACTGTAGGTCCTCTAGCTAAATTAAACAAAAAAAAAAAAAACCAAAAAAAAAAAAAAAAAAAAACCCAAAAAAAACCAAACCAAAACTGATTAGGCCACTACATGCATAAATAAACTGTAGGAATGCAGAAATCAGGGGGTAGGGAGTAGGGAGAATATAATGAAATATTTCTGAGAGTTGCAAGAAACATGGGAGAGACCTAATGGAACCAGGTGAAGGGAGACAAAACAGAACAATGAAAGCTCCATTTAAAGATCATATCTTTAATAACATAGGAATTAGTATGAAAAGGATGTCTTGTCCATTCTTCAGATTTTGAGAATACATCTCCAGCTATCCCTACCTTTGTTAGAAGAAGATTTATAACCTAGGAAGATTTATAATTCAGAGGAAAGGTAAACTATAAGGAAACATAACAATCCATAGTGTTTGAAAACTAAAATGGAATGCTTCCATGCTCTTCTTCATAATGAAAAAAAAAAAGGAATAGACACTAAACAGTTAAATAAGAGTTAAAAACAAATGAACCCCAAATATTTTTGTTAGCCTTCAGAGGATTTCACTGTTGAAAGACATTGTTCAGGCCAGTAACTTGTCTTTTGGTAAATTAGTGGGTTTTTAGTACTACTACTACTATTATTATTATTATTATTATTATTATTATTTAGAAAATCACATGCTGACTATTAACTGTTGAGGTCAGGAGGAGAAGTAATTCTGGAAGTTTCTGTCACAGAGTATTTTCAAAATTTTCTTCTGAGACGTTGCATTAGGCATGGTCAGAACTAGAAAGCTATGACAAAAGACCAGGAAAACTAATTTACCATGGTAATGTATTTGCCCTTGATATACAAATATGAATGTAATGAAATGGTCTTCAGAAAACTATTGTGCAATTTACATTAAGGCAGTACCATTCTAACAGCAAAATCAGAGAAAGCTGCACATATGAGCAGAATTTCTTTGCAAGAAAAGCTCCAAGGGCAGGGGATAAATTAACTCAGAAGTTAGTTTTGGTTCTGCAGATTTTACTAATTAACAAGATCTTTGCATACTGAATTTTCACAGTCAATCTGCTAACATTTTTTTTCTTTCTTTTTTTTTTCTTTTTTTCTCCCACATCTGACACCACAGCTAATCAGCAGAATAAAACTTCAATCTACATCTGACAGTCATGTAGGCTGCTGGGCAATGTTCACCATATTCTAAGAAAATCAACCCCCTTATCCATTTTTTTTCCACTTTTCCAGTGTTTTATTCTCAACTGAGAAAATGTAAAGAAACTCTTAACAGCAAATAGAAAGTTGAATTTCCCATATACTCTGGCAGTGAACTGAATCTTTTAAATTTGTCTTAACTATAAAGATTACTTCTTTTCCTTAGTCATCTAGGCTTGGGGAAGAAAAAAAAAAAAGGAAACATTTTGGAAGGTTTCATGTACTGTGCTGAAGATTATTATTTCAAATTCTAAAATGAAAATAAATCCAAAGCACTTAGTTATAACTGCATTGTTTCACACCAACTGAAATTAAGTGGTAAATATTTGAAGTAAAAATCAATAATCAAGATCACTTCCAAAATGCTGTTTCCATGAAAAATCTTCATAAAAATCCAGTATAAATCCTGATTAAAACTTAACCTAGCCAAACACTGCAGATTACGTATATTCCAATTAAATGTGACAAATGAATGCTTGACAGACTTCAATTTCAATTCTATTTCAACTTCAGTTTCAATTCTATTTTCTAATAATGGATCAGAATGATCCATTATTATTGAAGATTACATTATCAGATTTTGAACAACTCAATAATTAAAACACAAGTGGACTTAAGAATCATGTGACAGAAAACCCTCACTCAAATATCGGTAATACATATATGAAGGAGAAAAAGTGTATTCCACCCTGTTCCATCATTATTTATAGATTATTATTAACAGAAATTTCTGAAGATAGATGACTTGCCACTGTTGAAATCTTGTCTTTAAAACGTGACAGAAAAATCCAGAAATCTGTACAGTAAAATTTTCACCACAATATCACCCAGCTTTTAAAGATTTCTGTTCAAGGTTTTATAAATAAGGAGGAAATCCTGGTTCTATTCATATCTTACCATGCAAAATTTTTTTACTGGAGACTTTTTTGTTCATTCGCCATGAACTAATGTATATATCTACCTCTACGTTTCCATCTATTAATGTTAGAATACTATTTTTAAAACCAAATCCAAGAAATTCATCCTACCAAATATAAAATAAACTATTTTCAAAAAAAGAAGCACCTAAAATATTTTAGTTATTAGAATGCAATTCCAGTTTTGGAATCAATACAAAAACTTAACTATTTTGCTTTAACCTATGACATGGCTCAAGCACTTTCCATTTTCAATTGCACTTCAGTTAGTGTGATTTTCTTTTTCATTGGCTACCAAATACATTAAAAAATATATTAATTTCTGATTCTACAGTTTCTCCAGCATGGAGCATGCATATCCTATATTGAAATACTTTCTGAATTCAGAATTTCACCTCTACAAATTATCTACATTGCACGATGTCCAAGGGAATTGACAAGTTGTTTAATTTTATCATCCTAACCACAAAATCTCACTACAAAAAAACCAAAATAATCAGCCCAATTTAGGTACAAATTCTACAAGCTTTTTTCTGACTTTTTTTTCCACTAATATCAGTATCACTTTTTCCCCCTACCACATCCCCAGAAAAATGAAAAGTAAACAAATATATTCATATAAACAACGAAGGAAATTATATAAATGCAAATGTATAAATGTACATAACCTAATATAACTTTAGATGGATAATACTGTCTTCCTTTTTAGTCAATTACTTTTTTTGCTATTGGGATATACAGTTCAAGCATAAGTAGACTGCTGTAGCCATTCTTCAGCAATACACACTGGATTTGGAAATATCTTACCATGAAAAATAGCATAGTTTTAATGGGTTGACATGTCTATATCAGATATGACAAAACCCAAGAGAAATTATTCAGTATTGCAATCTCCAAAAAACTAACATGCACTTAGCCAAACTAATTAATTCATTCTATAACAAAAAAATACACCACCCTTCTTGCATGTACCCACCTATTACAATTGAATTAGAAAACACATTAATTCTTTGGTTATCAAAAATCTGTACACTTTAACATGTATTAATTTATTTTATGGGCAAATGAAAATATAATGAAGTCAGTCTCTGACTTCATAAAACTTTAGATCAAGGCCAAAAAGTGGAGAACAGTGAAATATTCATGTTTGGTAAAATATATTTCAAAATTAGTAAGTCCTTTTGGTTTTTAAATCCTGAATAGTTTTAGATAGAAAGCAAACAACCTAACCTGAGACTTATGCTAACATTTTTTTGGTTTTTAATAATATGAGAATTACTATGGAGTAAATAAATATTTAGCATTTTCCCCTTCTACATAAATGGACCCTGAATTTAAATGAAATGTAAAAGTACTGTCCAAAATAACATGTGAAGAAAAGGAAAGTAATATTCTTCTATCCTGAATAATGAAGAATGGACTTGACATTGTGTTTTATTTTGAAAACAGTCTATACAACTTTTTTGGGGAAAAGACAATTCTCTAGAGTGGGGTTTTAAAATACTATTTTCTTTTCCTGATACTGTATATATCACATTCTGGGAAATTTCCTAAGTAAGTTTTTAGTCAAAAATGGGAGGAAATGAGGATATATATGTCCTTTATGGTCTTTTATCTAAAATGAAAAGTATGTAATTTTATTCAATTACCATTTCCCCAGACCTCTACTGATATTTTTTTTTCAATATTTTAACTGCTTCTGCAGTACAGATTTTAACTAATATAAAAAAAAAAAAAAGCTGTTTTAATTAGTGGTGTTATGTTACATTATTTTGTATACCTGCATTTTAACAAACTTTAAAATCAAATAATTACAATATTAATTATTTAATATATTTATTTATGGGTTTGGACTGACCTTTCAAAAGTCTACTTAGTATCACTTGCTAGTGAGATTATGTGTGTGAATGTTGTGTTTGCCCCTACCATTTTCCATATGCTCTGCCTCACCAACACTGCCATCCGGCGTAGTCCTTTCGTAGTTGTCCTCTGGGAGTGGAAGGGCACCCAGTCTTGGCCCTGATGAACTCTTACTGCTTGGTGTTTCTGACTCCTCCAGACCGCTGTCATAGCAACTCTGCAATGACCCTTGATGCGGGTCCTGAGGCTGACTCACAACAGAAAACGTCACTCTACGAAACGGCTGCAAGAGAAAAGATTCTGAATGTCACTGCAAAGTTCAGTCTTTGAACAACTGATTCTCAAAACATGACTTAAGCAAACTAATATTTTAACATTTACCAATTAAACAATTTTCTCTACATTAAAGCAAACAGAAAGTACAGTTCTTACATAAAAGGCCACTGGACAGAGTATGCATGGAATTTTACTGGAATACACGCAGTTTGTCATAGCCTCCTTTCAAATGGCTACATGGGCTAAGGGAGCTGGTTGAAATAATTTATAAATTTTGCATAGCTTCTCTATCAACCACTGGTAATAAGTTGATCAGAATTAATACCAGACTGCATAAGGGTACTTGACAGTGCGTGCACATGTATGTGTGGGTGGGTAAAAGTGCTCATCTGTAAACTATTTTGCGGGTGTTACGAACGTAGAGACACACCCATAAGATTTCTATAAAATCACTACCTGTGTTTCTGACAGTTAGTTAACATGGGATAGGAGGGGGGAAAAAAGGAAAAAAAGGAAAAAAAAAAAAAAAAAAAGGGACAAAAAAGTCTCTTAGGTCCTTTGCCATAAAAGCCAGTGCCTGGAGACAGGGTGTGTTGCCAGCTGACTTAATAAAGCCTTTAAAGTACCGCAAGCACAGCTGACACAACATGCTTCCACTGGGACTGTACAAACATGGATTGTTAGAGATTTGTATTCATTCAAAATGACAGATATTACTGTTGCTCTGGAAGCCTACATGCTGAACCCTGGCACCAATGAGAATCTCGGGAAATGGAAGAGTCAATCCTTCACATTTCAGAGGACACTGAGGACATGCAGGATTTTCAGTGAGAAGTTAGGGGATTCTCTTAGGATTTAAACTACACTCAAGCAGCAATGATACATTTAATTAATTAATTAAAATAATTTAATGATACATTTAGAGAACTGTAGAAAATTGTTTGTTGTTCTAGAAAGCACTTTCTGAAAAAAAATACCAATAAATTCGTTTTATAAGACACCACAAAAATTTTCCTGTGTTTAAAATAAGATGTCTGATAGTGCTGTCCTTTGGATTCAGATGTGTTTCAAGCTCTATGTTAGAATGAGACATAAGCATACATCACTGCCACTAGCAACTGTAGTCACTACAGGATGGAAATATATATGGAGGCCAGAAGGGAGCAAACAGCAACTGCAACCACTCACACAAGCCCTGAAGAACAGAAGTCCACATCAGGTTTACTAGTAGAGGGGTAAGTGGAGGTAGTTTCATTTTGAGGGTACAAAACTTTGAAGATATCAAGGTAGTTAGTGCTGATGGTAGGCAGGCTGGACAACAAATATAATGCTAAACCTTCCTGGCATGAGTAGATGCCATGAGTTTAAATAGGTGACAGTTACCAGAAATACTTTACTGTATGGCAGACCAAAACTTCATGCAATGATATGCTGTAATCTGTAACTATACATCAATTATTACCTATGGTCCAATGACAAAAACTGTGAATCTCAGAGATTTGAATTACTTAGAACAACCTGTAGATTATTCCTGAATATCATATTATTTTGGCCGTCACATTTGAATCAAATGAGCTAGGAGAGAGGCCCTTTGGCATCTACTCACAGCAAACTCACATAGTCATATTAGGTCTCCTTACTGGCTCGACCCCAAATTCCCTATAGCACAGTCTCAGATAATTTAGTCTTGATGCAATAACCATACAAAAAAGTAACAGCTTGAGCTGGCACCTCTGAGGAGGGACCCTGAACAGAGAAAATCCTGGGCTTTTATACTTTCATATTCAAAGCACTTGGAAGCATCTTGGGCTCTCCAGCTTCTGCAGCGTCTCTGAGTGTCTGGTCACCTGAATGGACACAGGTCCCCATGCCCCTTATTACGCAAAGGGTTAGTGGTGCATGACCTCTTGCCTGGGCTCCAAACACTCAGAGCTCCCACTGCAGCTGCTCACCAAGCTACCTGCACTGACAGTATTCCTCAAGACCAAAAGGACTTTGCATCATCTACAGTTCCTGCAAGAGCAGTGATGTAACTTACAATGGGAATTAGGAAAAAAAAAAAAAGCCATCAAATATTTGGAACTTTATGTTCTCTTTCTTATTGATTTCTCGGAAATCATACTCAACTAGATCACAAGAAGAGAACACCTTTTTATCACATCTGTGCTACCACAAGAGTAATAGCAAAGTTATCTAAAATAAATTCTGGAACAAGCTATAAAAGATTCAGGAGCATCCTGTTCATTTTCAGATATTCTTTGAAAGTTATATGCCATACCTAATTGGCATGTAGGGAAGAGATGTGACAGATGCGAAGTTGGACTGTTTTACAGCTGAGGCTGAAAATTCCCTAAGAACTTCACTACGTATCCTTGAAACTAAAAGAAATTTGATGTACTTTTACTAAGCTGTTAATACTAGTTTTTAAACAGAACTGGGTGTTAATCTTGCTTTTCTCTTAAGTGCTGTACTGAATAGGAATTATCTAACCCAAAACTAACACACAGAGTATTCAGTTCAGTAGAGCCAATACAGCTCTTTCCACAGAATATCAATGAGAATGACATAATGATGACAAAATTCTTTCTGAAAGAATGATGTGCATGTTAATGGTTATTTTGCAGGATTTATTACACTTCTACTTTCAGTATAAACATCAGAATTCTGACCTTTCTATTGCATTACCTCTGAGAACCAGACCTTCTCAGGCGAACGTATTGCAAATTATGAGTGCATCTGAACTGTTGGAATAACATCATGGCCTGTCCTTTTCCAATAAAAAGAAATAGACTTAGATTATAATATATGTCTGTTACCTCCATAGTTAGAAACACTCCATGTGATTAACATAAAGAATTTTAAGAACAACAACAAAAAAAAAAAATGTATTGCAGTTGACTGTTTCCCATGTCACCATCTCTGATATGCAAATTACCATATAGTTTAGACAGTATAATCTGGATAAACACTTGTCAGATCGGAACTACCAGTTATAAAAGATACTGAGTTTTTATACTCTTGGAATATTTGAGCTAAATGATTTATGGCACCTCATTTTTACACCCAAAAAACCAGGACATCTTAGAGATAAAGTTGATGAAAACACAGCAGTATGGGGTTGCTCTAAAATGCCTCTGAATAAACCCTGTATATGGATGTACATGTTACTGTTCATGAAACTCATATTAGTCCTTTAATTGTTACCAATAAGAACATTTAAGTTAAATGAGTTTAAACCCCTATGAACTTAGTTATGAACACTAGAATACTAATGCACAATAAGTACTACTTAGGCATTAGTTTCTATGAATGCAATAAGTCCCCTCCAAAACCAAGAACTTTCTTCAAATACTCTAATCTTTGTTTATATCCTAATCTCTAAAACAGTTGAAGTTTCACCTAAAACTGCATATTAGTGAAACAAACAAGAGGGGAAAATTATGAATTGCAACATTAATATTTACACAAAGTTATTGGTAAAATGCTGGTCTTCTTATGTATTTATTGCCATGAAAAAAGTAAGGACAGTAAGCTCCACTTTAACAAGCGAACACAGACTATGTACTAAATTTTGTTCTACTATATATAAAATTACACCATTAATTTCTCAGAAGACTGGACATGACAAATTTCCAAGTGTTATGTGGAGTCGTGGGTTGGTGACAGACACAGGACACGATGTTGCAGCATGGGCAGATGGCAGATTGCTGCAACCTTCCTGAAGCATCCCCATGAGGAGACCGCTCCACCAAGCACACAGCAAATACCACACTCACACACAGTGGCTGGTTATCTAAGATGGCAGAGGCAGGAAGGGTCTTTGTATAGGTTTCCAGTGGTAGTTTATTTCACATACAAACTGAAAGGGTCCAAGGACAAAGACAGGGAGAGGTAGAGGGTCCAGGACTATATGCTGGTAAAAAGGGGAAGAGCCAACAGCAACAATCAATCACCTGAAGGTGTGAGCAGGAAAAGGATTACAGTGACCAGCAGGGAAACACAAGGGTAAACAGAAAGGGTATCAATGAGGGTACAAAGAACAAAGAAACTGCTACAACCTTTACCATATGTGGTTAACAGGCGGTTAAACAGCCAAAGGGCTAACAGGGGGAGTGGCACTGGGAGTGATTGACAGCATGTCACAGGAGTCCATGGGAGAGGTTAAAGTTTAGGGGACATTCTTCCAGGGCATAGCTCCAGGAAGTCTAGCAGACTCACTGGCCTCCACAACACAACACTGAGTCCTCAGCAAACAGCAATGAGTTTAATCTAGCTGCCCTTTTTATAGGGGTTTTGCATTTCCCAGGCTCAGATTGGATATGACCTCTCTCCACCCAGATCTCTGGCCAGTGGTGTATGTGGATCTCAGCTAGAGCAGAGTTGGCTGAGGTAGTTGCTTGGGTTTGAATGCAACCTATCCCAAACTTATCCAGGGACTTATTTTCTTCTAAGTTGATTGAGTTTAGGGGGCAGCTTCAGGTCAGCTGCAATGCGTCATCCAAGTGCTGACAAATTAAGGCACCAACCTCTGAGGGGACAGCGTTATGTTTAACTTTATTGATTTTCAATGCACACCATTAACACAGCTGCATCTACCACCACTGTGAATCAACATCGTCAAGGAACTTTTACCCAAAGAAGTCCACAGTTGTTCAATTTGTCTATCCCAGCAAAAAAAAGCAACCTTAAGCATTTATTAGTCCTTTGGTAGGGACTTACAATATTCAGGTTTAGTAAGAAGACTGTAAGTTTAATAAAAATACTGTAGCTTTGATAATTTTCACCCTCAGAAAACTGATATCATCTTTTCTGAGAACAGCATATGGAGTTCTTCCTAATTGTATCTGATTGTATCTGATCTTGGAGGTGAACAGATCACAGAGAAAATATACGCCTTTGCATAATACCTCAGTGATAATCAGAATCTCCATTTCTTCCTTGTTTCATGTGTATTTCTTAAATGGGATAGTTTCCTTTCCACTCAACCATAGAACAAAAAACACTGCA